GAGAGAGAGAGAGAGAGAGAGAGAGAGAGAGAGAGAGAGAGAGAGAGAAAGAGAGAACAGGTAAGTCTTCAAACTCGTGGCTGCCTCAGGCGACTTCCATCGATAGGATGAGCAAAATCGAATGGATCTTTATAGCTAGAACATAGATGTGGATGGAGAGAGAGAGAGAGAGAGAGAGAGAGAGAGCAGGTAAGTCCTCAAACTTGCCACTGCCTCACGCGACTTCCATAGATAGGATGAGCAAAATCGAATCGATCTTCCGCTAGAACATGGAAGTATACACTATACACTGCCGGCTTTCTGCAATAGAGGGCAAAATGCCAAAAACGGCCCCCTAGACGAAGTACCATAAAAGGGGCCTGGCCCCTCCCCGACTCGAAGCTGCGCCTATCGTCACGCTGTTTGGCAGCGCTTCCCCATGAAACACAACGGAAGACTGCGTCGACCCCGCAGCTGCCTTACAAGAAACGTCTTGCGGCCAATTTCACGGGTCACCTCCAGTGCAGTCCAAACGAGCAGAGGGCCTTATTTTTGCCTTATTTTTGCTGGGCCCAAACGGACCGTCTTACGGGGACCGCTTTTGCCTTCAGAAATTAGCAGATAGATAGATGGGAAATTTTTCGAAATGCCCCTGAAGTTTGCGTTTTCTTACACCGTGCCCCTCTGACGGCCGACTTACCTCGTCGCGCCCCTCTGACGACGAATGATGTTTCCAGAAAACCCCTGCCCCCTACCGGATGGCCGTTGAGAACCAGCACAAAAGTTTCCCATATGCCCTTAATTGGTACTATATCTTTTTAGCGAGCCCCTGTTGCCGTTGTTGACAGTCGAAAGTCCTTCCCCTGGCCCAGGGAGAGATACTACTGGGGCATATCAGAAATTTGGCAATGAGCACCAACACACACACACACACACACACCTGCACACACACACACACACACACACACATACACTTAAAAAGCTTTTGTTATTTTTTTATATTATTTTTTTGTATTTTATTTCTTTTATTTATATAAAAGTAATACTAATAATAAAAATAGTAAAAAACAACATAAGATAAAAAAGATTAATAATAATGTTTTTGAGTTATGAATATATGCAAAAAGACAATAGAGGGAAAGAATTAGCTTTAAGAGGACGAAGTTGGAGGCGGCACCGTAGCACTCTGTTCCAGTGACGCGCGCAAGTTAGGGTTTCGTTCTTACGTACGCGGAGTTCGCTCACCATACCCCGGGGCGCTCAGCACGGGGGAGGTGAGTCACGCAGCTGTCGAGTTTCGTGGTGAACTCGAGCAAAAGTGACACGGACTTGTCCTTGGTATGAGGCGAGGAGGGGTGGTGTATGTATGGGCAGTGGAGCTTTTGTTTCTCTCGACCATCTCGAACCATCTGAACCGAAGATCGCTGTACGGACAGCGAGCTGCAGTGCATAGGAGTCTATTCTTCATGAAGGGAAGCTCTTTTCTGCTCTCGAGTGGGTACCACAGAGTATCTTCGAAGCCGGGGAGCCGAAGCAGGACAGCAGAAAGTTAGTACAGGAACATATATTGCTTCTAGCGAACTAAGCGAAGACTGGAGGCAGGGCCACATGGAGCAAGGAGAACAAAGGTTCTTCCCCCTGTAGGCATGTAAGCGCTCTATACACGTGTGGACAATCTTGGAGGCCTTTCAGAAGCCACCCGGCGGTGCACAGACCGTTTGGGATTCTAGTTCCACTTTGGCGGGCACCGCTGGTAGTGACGAAAGAACAGCCAGCAAACGAACACCAAGTGATCGAACAGCAAGTGAGCGAAGTTACTAATCGGTAAGCGCCATCAGGATCTAATATGGTAAGATCTTGCTCGCTTGGTTGCCAGCCTGTCTCGGACGCAAGCAGTCTGGGGCCAATCACTTAGAGCTTCATACTAGCTCTCATCCCTATTTCACTTTCATTGACCTGCACAGTCGTTTGGCCATTGGATGTAGAAGATCCCAGCCGTCGCAATAGGGCTCATTTGGGCTGGACGTTGTCTACCTGGAGAGCATTTGAAACGGGCCGCCTAGATATTAAAGCCTCCTCTTTAGGCCGCCTACAACCCTCCTGGACAAGATCTTGAACGGCGACATCTGGACTCGAACCTGAGAGTCGGCGAGAGTGAGCTAGTGGTCGGCTGGTGGGGAGAGTCTGGGAAAGGAAGTGCTGGTGGTGGTAAGAGCTTGGGGAAAGTACGAAGTTGGTTAGGGACAAGAAGGAATGTAAAAGTCAGTGACAACGGGAAGCTCTGGCAGATTAAGGTTACTGTGAAGAAACAGCAGGGCGCTTCCTATGGACGTGTCGTGTTTGAACTGGGGGGTATGAGCTGAGATAGGTTTGTGTGATAGGTCAGTGCCATCGGCCTCAAAATGGTGTTGGTGAGGTATTGAGAGCCACTGACGTTGATCTGAGGATTAGATGGAATGACATTCACAGTTCAGGAAGTGAT